AGCTTGGTATAAAGGAGATTGCACAAGAAGATAAGATAAGGAGATAATTCTCTTGTCTTGGGTTGTATCTGGAATTGTATTATACTGTAACTGTACTGTCTCCCTTTATTTTGTAACGCACTGCACTATATAAATCCTCATTATTATTATTATTAATGTTTTTATTATTGTTATTAATAATAGGGATGCACCAATAGCATTTTTTTTGGTATGGAGTACGAGTATCCATATTTTTTCCAGTACTCACCGATACTGAATACCGATACCGGAAGTCCCATTAAGGAAGTTGGGCGGAGTGTAATGGCTCACCACTCGGCTTCCTGCTTAGCCGGGAAGCCGGTTCCATGTTCCCTCGTCACCAGGTGATGAGGAAGCATAGAGCCGGCTTTCTGGCCAATCAGGAAGCCGGGGGGGCAGGTAATGACTCGCCGCCCGGCATCCTGATTGGCCAGCTTCCCGACCATTCAGGAAGCCGGGCAGCAAGTCATTACACACCGACAGGCTTTTTAATTAGGCGGGAAGCCGGCTCCATGCTCCCTTGTCACGACGAGGGAACATGGAGCCAACTTTCCAACCGATCAGGGAGAAGCATTGGGAGTATTTGGGTGTATTGTATACCGAGTATTTGGGTGAGTACGAGTGCCCAATTACTCGGTATCGGCACCTATACCGATACTAGTATCAGTATCGGTGCATGCCTAATTATTAATAATCATACTAATAACAACAATAATAAGCACTCTCATAAGCAATTGGACTTAGGTGTTTAATTTTGTTTTATTAAACCATTTAACACTTCAAGAATCATTTAGTAAAGGAGTAGAGAACATATACTTCGAAAAGTAAATTTTGACTGTGTACGGGAATTTTCACTCAACTTAGTGAATTCAGATTGCCCAAAAAATACCCAATCATGGCAAGAAAAAAAACAAAACAAAAAACAGGGTTTTCACTTGCAAATAATTAGATGATTAAATTCAGCACAGCTTCACCTCCTTCACTCAGCTAACTGACAATTCACTTACCAAAGTGAACACACTGTATTGCTTTAGTAAAGCATCACAGATTCATTTTTAATGAGGGATGATATTATCTGGAAAAAAAAATGAGGAAACATGTCACAACTTTGAATTTAGAACAACTTTATGAGTTTTATTCACTAACCCAGATAGCAATGATAACTTGCCACAAACTTGTGGCAGGGTTAAATTGTAATTCTTGTTAAGTTGCTGCACACATTCCTGGCAAGTTGTAGACTTGCAGAACACTCGCAGCACAAGTTCTAGTTGACACTTTTTGAATTTGTAGCAAATTTGCTTGGCAAGTCTACAGCAAGAGTCCTGCAGGTCTAAGGCTGGGCACACACCTTACAACCATCGCAAGACTATTGTCTTGCGATGGTTGTAAGGTACTTAAAAAAACGTACGATCTGCCTATCTGAGGGGGGTGATTCCGATGACCGCAATGCCGAACGGGCACGTAGCGTAGTGCACACTGGCTCGTACGGCTTTTATCGTACGAACATGCCACAAACCCGCCGAACATCGTACGATGCTCGGCGGGTTTTCGAACATGTCCGTAAGTTAAAAGTCGTGCAACCTTACAGTAGTAGAGGTCGCACGGCTTCCACACACCTTACGATAATCGTACGATCGCGGGATTTCCCGCGATTATCGTAAGGTGTGTGGGGACCTTTAGCAAGAGCTCTGCAAGCTCGCTGGTCTGGAGACTTGCAATGCAGACTTGCTGGAATTGTGCAAAATTGTGAAGCTTGGCAAGTCTGCAATAGTTTAGCAAGTCATTTTCAAACTTGCAGCTCAATTGCTTGCTATCTGGGAAATAACTTTATTTAATAACACTGGGGAACAATTTTTTTCTTTTTCTGTTGCATGAGATTTTTCAACTGATTCTAAGTATTTTTTAAAGCAGATTTCAAATATGAAATTGGTTTTCCTCCGAATGCTCTAGTTTTCATACAATTTGAAAATAGGGATTTTCACAAAACAAAAAGGACACCCATTGCTATTTACACTAGGGAGAGAATGAGCACTAGTCTTACTTCTACCAGAACCTTAGACTAATTACGCTTTTTTTTTATTTACAAACATCAATAATCTTTATCTTTTTTGTTAATTTTGGATTATAGAAATGTATCTGATTTACTTGATTTTCTTTATGAAACAGTTTGTGAAGGCATTATGTACTGATGGTGAATGTTTTCAATATATATTTTCTGCTTTTCCTGCTTTGTCTTTCGAGAAGATCAAAGCAAGTGCGTTTGATGGACATCAAATGCGTGCCCTTGTACATGATGAGGAATTTGTCATGGAATATGAATGACAAGGAGAATTTCTACAATGCTATAATTATGTATTCTAATGTTCTCCTAAGCAAGTAAAACTTAATTCAGCATTCCTCAAGATCTCAGTGCTTCATCTAAACACAGAACCAATGCTTGATACAAGAATGGGTGCAACCTGAGTTTTAAGCTTAATTTCCTGAATAGTCACCTTGATCAATTCCCCGAGAACCTTGAGGCTGTTACTGATGAACTGGGAGAGCGCTTCCATCAAGACCTCATGACGATGGAACAATGCTATCAAGGGCGATGGGACAACAATATGATGGCAGACGACTGCTGGAGCATCAAACGAGGTGGCCCTGAGAAGGTTCACAAATGCCACAGCTACGAGCGCATATTCTCACCTGAATAGGGCATATTTGAGCTTTGCATCCCGTCCTTTTCAGTTGTTATCTTTATGTCAAGTATGTCAATGTCAATTTTTTTTTTCTTTTTGAATAATATTTATTTTATTCCAAACAAACAATTATACAATTATACTTTATATCCATAAAAATAAATTCCAATGTATATCATACCCAAGCTATATCCAGCTTTGTTTCCCCCTCAATGTCAATTTATGTTTTTTGAAGTTATTTAAAGTAAAAAGCATTAGTGCATACCCATATTTGACTATAATGGATACATTTTTCAGATTTGACAAGTGGCAATACATGTTTTACTCCACACAAGTGTGTTTTGTTTTTTTTGCCTTTTTTTTTAATGTAATGAATACATTGTGATGCACCTACACATTTTTTTCAATACATAAAGAATATCTTTGCCAATATGGTTGTTTAAGCCTAATTGTAAAACTGTGTGACTCTACATTCCTCAGATAGACAATGTTAAAATGATGGATTGCAAACAATCTAGAGCTCACATAGGAAAACTAACTTCAGATTTGAATTCAGCACACTCAAATTATTTAGGGACGAGTTCTGGTATCAGTGCAACAAAAACTTTGTTCCCCAGCATAATTCATGGTGTGTTAGTAAGTATTTTATATTGAATTATTTATATGTATTACATATTCTATACATTTTGGACCCTCTGTATATGACCAAAGCCACTGTAAAATATATACATAAGCACACATTTTCTGCCCACTTTATAATCCATATATTCCTACTCCCCATTGCTGTCTGTACCCCGGTCTTGTCTATTGTTCTTCACGTCACCAATTGTCATTCTCTCATAAAGGCTGTCTAGCTGGGAGCTTAAATATTGGCGAACACTAAAACCCTCCCATCAGGGTGAATTGAGTCACATCTGTTCAGTCGTGCGATAAGTTTGGGACTTTAGGTACGAAAGAACAGAAACAAAAGTTCACTTTTGACAGGAGAGTGCCAAGAGAGGGGACGCATTCTTCCAGTGGAGCTGTCACTGTGGCAAGTTGCCCACTATGTACCATTTACTTACCTTTCTCTTCTCTTATGTCTTCTAACTTTTTGGCTTTTTTAGTGTGCTGTGTTGTTTCCTGTTAATATTACCAACATTTGATTTTGCAGGATTTAAAGGCAAGAGTTCCGATTATGTGTATCACGTGCACATAATGTTATCAGATTTATCGAGAGCGTTAGATACTTATATTATGTTACTCTATTTAGGCAAATGGCTATTTGACTGTTTTATTTTTAATATAAAACTTATTCGAAAAATCTTTGGTGGATGATTAAGAAATGTATATAAATAATAAAAAGAAATGCTAATAGTTTTTTATTTTTTTTAAGGGGCACTGATTATTAAATTATTTGCATGCTATTAATTTTTAAAATTAAATTGATTGCTATTAAAACATAGTATATGAGGTTGAATAAAGACACAGGTCCATCAAGTTCAACCCATTGTGTGTATGTATGTGATTCTGCATGTGTATGCGTGTGTACGAGTCCCTGTGTGATCTTATTTTTTAAGGGTACCTGTACCCCTGTATGTTACGGTCTCTGAGGAAACTGTCCAAATGCATTTTGATTGATGATTAGTTGTATTTTATTTATTTTTTTACGTTTGCCTAAAACCATTATTTTGTTCTGAATTTTAGGCCATGGTTAAAAAAAAGCATTTTCTTGAGTATTTTTCATCATGAAAATCATATGATATTTTGTATCATATATTTGAAAGCAGCTTCTCATTTTATTAAAAACTATGATATGTTGAGGAAAAAGATAAACATTTGTTTTGCAAATGTATCGTTGACCTTAAATAGCTGTTCATTTTATTATCCGAGCTTCTGCTGATCGTATAGACACAGGCATATGTCTAGCAGGGTTTACAGGTAGTAAAGCATTGTTTATTGATAATTCATCTTCTTATAAGTATATTATTTTTATGTTTTGTTGTTCATTTATTATAATCTATTGTTCCAAACTTTAAGAAATGGGTTGTTACTTGCAACATGTTGAACTACAAAAAATATTCTCCCATAGTTTTGAAATGTTGATTAGATCTTTTTGAATATCATAGAATGGGTTACAATATATATGCTGTATATAAATTTTTTAGCATATTCTACCATGTACGCATTCATCAGTGAAAGGAGATGTTAACTATCAATCTGATGTTGTAGTGTTACAATCGTAGACAGTATCTTGTAGTTCCTAATGGAAGAACTCATTATTTTTCTTTTCCTTATTTTTTTATTTGCAGCTTGTAGACAATGGGAGACTGGAGCTTCTTGGGGAATATTTTGGAGGAGGTGAATGAGCACTCCACTGTGATCGGTAGAGTTTGGCTCACTGTCCTGTTTATTTTCCGGATCCTCATTTTGGGAACAGCGGCAGAGTTTGTGTGGGGGGATGAACAGTCTGATTTTGTATGCAACACCCAGCAGCCTGGTTGCGAGAATGTCTGCTACGATGAGGCCTTTCCTCTGTCCCACATCAGATTGTGGGTCCTGCAGATCATCTTTGTCTCCACACCATCCCTGGTGTATGTGGGGCATGCTGTGCACCACGTGCGGATGGAGGAGAAAAGAAAGGAGCGAGAAGAGGCAGAAATGAGTAGGCAACAGGAAATCAATGAAGAGAGGCTGCCGCTGGCTCCTGATCAAGGGAGCATCCGAACCACCAAGGAAACAAGTACCAAGAGTACTAAGAAGTTTCGGCTAGAGGGAACCCTCCTAAGAACCTACATCTGCCATATCATCTTTAAGACACTTTTTGAGGTGGGCTTTGTGGTGGGCCAGTATTTTCTGTATGGTTTCCGGATCCTCCCCCTGTACCGTTGCAGCCGTTGGCCTTGCCCAAACACGGTAGACTGTTTTGTCTCCAGACCTACAGAAAAGACTGTGTTCATAATGTTCATGCTGGCTGTGGCGGCAGTGTCACTTTTTCTAAATGTGATAGAGATCAGCCACCTGGGCTGGAAAAAGATCCGTCTTGCATTTCGAAGGTCGGCGGATCATCAAACTCAACAGCTGCTGGGAGAAGTTTCACAGAAGCCCCTGCACTCCATAGCCATCTCTTCCATTCCAAAGTCTAAGGGCTACAAGTTGCTGGAGGAAGAAAAGGCTGTCTCCCATTTCTATCCAATGACTGAAGTTGGATTAGAAGCTAGCCCCCTACCTACTCAGTTTAACAACTATGACAAAAGCAGCACGGGACTCCTGGAAGACCTCTCCAAGGCTTATGATGAAACTCTGCCCTCCTACCGCCAAGCTGAAGAGCAAGAGGTGGTGAAAGTGCAAGTGACTGAGACCTTAGAACAAACTCCATCTGAGCGAGCCCCATCAGTTAGGGCTCCTTCGGTGCGTGCCCTCTCTGACCGCGTTCCCTCTGAGCGTGCCCTTTCTGAAAGAGCACCATCACGTGCAGTTTCTGACCATGCAGCTTCAGAGCATGCTCCCTCTGAACATGCATCCATTTCAAGAATACAATCCAACCATGCACTCTCTGAAAGAGCACCCTCAGAGCAAGCCATCTCCCGTGCTGGTTCTGAGCATGCCCCTTCGGAGCGAGCTCACTCTCGGGCAGTATGTGAGCTTGCACCCTCAGAGCGAGCTCCTTCTCGGACCATTTCTGAACACGCCCCTTCTGAGGGAGCTCCATCTCGAGCTACTTCCGAGCACGCACTCTCAAACCGAGCTCCCTCACGGGCAGCATCGGAGCATGCTCCATTTGAACATGCGCCTGAGCAAGTGCCTTCTCAAGCAGCTTCTAATGTCCAGTTATATGATGCTCCTGTAGAACAGCCCCAAGAAATTGTCACGTCACCTTTAGAAGACGATCGTACACCCTCAAGAGCTCTCTCAGACCACATTGGTCCTGATCCTTCCCCATCAGATCGTGAGGTTCCTCAACCTGTGCCCCCAGAACCAGACGTTTGTGAACCAGAGCCTACAGGCCTGGAGTTGGCTCTATTGAGTTTTGAATTAGTTCCAGATTCCCGGTCCCTCAGTAGATTAAGTAAAGCAAGCAGCAGGGCCCGATCAGATGATTTAATGGTATGAAGAGAAAGTGTTAAGAAAGAAACATATGAAGGGTCTCAGTACAGAAAAAAAAGTCTAAGTGATTTGGATATTCAGTTACCAAAGGATGTTTTAGAGGAACATGCAGAAGGTTTTTGAGAAAAGTGCTTCCCGGACGACTGTATATGGGGTTGTTTTTTAGATCCGTCTAAAGACATGTCTGTATTTCAGAACAAGGCTAAAAAAAAAAAAAAATTTGCATTAGTCTTTACTAATGCATTTAGTAGAATTAGATATTCATGCTATCACCATTTTTTTTTAAACATTTTTAGAATCTTCCAATTTTTATTTATTTATTTATTTATTTTAGCAGTATATTGTCACGTTATTTCTCTTTTAGCAGAGACAAAAATAAGATACAAAATTTAAAATGATTCCATTTTGCAAGTCAGGTTGGTACTAGACTGAAGGTCTATTGAGCCAGAGTAAGAAGCATGACACTTACCTCAGCAATTAAACGGGAACCTGGGTTAAAGCACAGTAAGAAAAGGTAACAAAATTAATATTAAAGATATTAATTAATGTAAAAGGTAACTATTATATAATAAATAAACCGTAGAAATTAAGGCAGAAAATTTACTGGTTATGAAGAGTTTTCATATTTCCCAGAATATGCATTCCCGTTCCTCCCTATTCTCCAAGTCTAGTTTTCCACCCCTACCCCCCCCCGAAGGTCATCTGTTATTAGATGGTTCACTGTGTGTTTTTTTCATATATTTATAGTCACCACAACATTTTTTTCTTCTCAGTGGCTGTAACTTTCCACCGGATTCCTGATGTAACGTCCATTGTATGTCAATGTTATGCAGCACAAAAGGAAGAAAACAAATAGAAAAGGTAGAGGCAGATGCATTCAAGTATTTTCCATCTTGAAAAAAAAAATCTCAGCAAAATTTAAGCCTTCTACATTTTTTTTTCTGCACAGCAGTCAGTGAATTGCAAGAAATGGATACAGCTTAACTCTGAAACCTATTTCTGTTTACTTCTCTTTTGTCCTTTTTTCATTCTCCATTGTGTTTAACATGTAAATCTATTTATCAATATGTTGCCCCAGGCACATTTTATTTTTTCCTCACCCAGTGAATTAAACATTTAAAGCTACACAAAAATAAAACAAATTATATATAGAGATATATCTCTATATATAATCTATAGATAGATAGAAATTTCTATCTATCTATCTATCTATCTATCTATCTATCTATCTATCTATAGATTATATATAGATGTATAGATATATAGATATATAGATATATAGATATCTATATATCTATATATCTATATATAAAACATATATAATATATATATATATAAAGCTAAATGGTGGCAAACACATTTCTAGGTCGACTTATAGGTACACAATAAGTTTGACAGAGTCAAATTTATTTCAGGAAAGCACGGGGAAGTAGGTTATGAAAGAAAGAGAATGAGAAGAATAAAGTGATTTAATATGCAAGTGTAAAAAAGAAACTGGGACATTTACAGCAGATATTTTGAATGGTTCTCTTGCTTTTAATAATAGAAAGAATTTCACCTTTGGACAGAAGAGTTTAAAAAAATGGTCTACGTATTCTATAAGAATCTGACAAGTTGTATCCCTTCTTTTACACTTTGCTTTGTCTGTAGTTTCCCCCTCTTTATTTTATGCACGGCATCCTGAAAGTGCTGCATATGGCATTATTTCCTTACAATAAGTTGGAAATAAGTATTTGGGGAGAAGACGAGGGTACGAGGGTGGATGACAGGGTAGAAACCTGTGAACTGGTAAGGCCCTACTAATATAATGATCGGAAGAGCCCAGTGTTGGCCATATAACCAGCTGTAGTTTGGGATGAAAATTCTTGGTACTTTCACTCTACAATAGAGATCTTGTTAAATGTAACCATTTATAACCACTGTCTAATCACTGAAAAATTCTTTGTTTTCCATTGTCTCAATTCTTCTACTGGGGAATTATCACATCCTTTCCTGTGGATGGTTGTGAGCTTTTTCCTTAGGTGAGTAAATCTGACATTTGTTAAAATTTTTATACTTTTGTGTTATCGATTAAAAATATTCACATGCCTTTTCGAATTAATTTATAATTACTATTATTTTTTACTGTTAGTTTTTTTGTGCAACAATGTATTCATTTATAATTTTTATATTTATGTTAAATTAGTCAAAGCTGGAAAGACTGCATCCCTTTAAATACTTTTTTTTTAAAGTTGTTTTTATTTTTCAAAATTTAAAGCAAATACAGGTTTTGTTTATTGCTTATTTTTTTAAAGCAAATTTTAATTGACATTTGGTAGCCAAGTGATAAAAAAATAAGATACATTTTTGTTAATAGTTCAGGTACTTGAATTTATTTTTAAGGTTTAACTCCTGAGTTTAGTGTCACTTTAAAGACTTCTCCGTTCTGCTGTTTGGTCCATGCACAGACAAGTTATCATATAATGTACTAACTGTACATGCTTCATGATATAGCATTTTATAATCTTTTTCATGTTATTTTCCCACTTGTTTCTTATGCTTATTTTTAAACATGATTTTGCCATGCATTCCTTTGCTTTGGCTCTAAGCATCCACAGAACATGGGCTCCATTATATTCATTATATTATGACGCTTAATAACAAAATAGTCCTTCAGCTTCCACAATGCACATCTTCTATAGGTATGAATAAAACTGCATATGAAAGATATGTAAACAGCACCATACCTGAGTTTTATGTGCATTTTAGAACCAGCCCGCTCCCCAGTCCTATATTCATCTGTGCCTGATCTAGCAAGATATTAGCTGTGCGACCTATCGATGCTGCAATCCTGCCTACTGGGCCCACTCATGCATTGTACATCCTCCAGACTCCTGAGCACCCAGTATGAACTATCCATAAGATTCAATAGATAATGTACAGGCCATGTGCGGGCCCGGGCCATCAGGATTTTGACAAGTGTCGACAAGGTGCACGTATTTCACTGGATAAGGACAGGTGAGTATAAGATTGGGAGGGGGGCTGCAAGATCTACAGAAAAATACCTTTGTTGAGGCTTAATTTAATTTGCAATGTTGACAAACTAATGTGGAGCAGTTTTCCAACACGTTCATAGCTTAGGCAGATTGCTAATGTTAAAAATATTGCAATCTTTGCATAGGGAAACTAAAATTATTATCATTATTATTATACAGGATTTGTATAGCGCCAACAGTTTGCACAGCACTTTACAATATAATGAAGACATTACAATCACAATACAATTCAAGACAGGATGGTAAGGAGGGCCCTGCCCCTGAGAGCTTACAATCTAAAACGGAGGGGGAAGTGATACATGAGGATGTAGCTGTGTGGGGATGAATTTTTGAGAATGTGATGGTTGAGCGGTTAGGTTGAGGTGGAAGAGATGGTTAGGTTGAGGCTTCCCTGAAGAGATGAGTCTTTAGGGAACGCCTAAAGGCAGTCAAGGTGGGCGACAGATGGACAGGTTGGGGTAAAGAGTTCCACCGGGGGCAGAGTTGTGAATGGCTTTAAAAAGAAAAAAAAAACCCTTCCTGTCCTCTGGTTTTTTTTTGTTTTTTTTTATGAGGACGTGGGTCTTTGCCACATTTCATTCCAGCAGATTAAAGCTTTATCCTGCCAACATGTGAATTTATAGAGAAAACTATTCACCGGGAAGAGAAAAGAGCGCCCAGCGCTGAGCCTTTTATAAGTCCAGTTATACATTACGTTGTTTTTGTAGTCTGACTGTCTCTAGGATTTTAATGCATACCCACTGGGCGCTTCACGAACAATGGAAACATTTGCTTCGGTCAGCGTATCAGAGGGAGCAGACTGCAATGTTTTTACAGGAGGTCTGACCAGAGACACATTTTGGGGCATATAAAGCAAAGTAAGAGAGCAGCAGAAAATTTGAGATACGCCAGCCATGGGTTCAGATCATTCTAAAAAGCTCATAAATATTCTACTGCAATTTTGTATTGATACAAAGAGACTCTATACAAACAGATAATTGCACAGTTTAAATACGTACAGTGTATAGAAATGTTGGTAGCTGCAAGTGGACTTAGCATTTTGTCCATTCAGTCTTGTAATTCACACCCTTGGTGCATAGCCAAGTAGATAAGTCCAGTGATTCCTGGTTCAGCTTCACAGCTTTCTGTACATGAAAAAACAAGCACAAAGGTCAGCACCTGCTCCTCGTGAAGTATGTTTAATGTATTAAATAATATAAAAGTGGTTAAAAATACTTACAATGATAGTTGATCATATGCTTGTGTGTATGTGTGTGTGTGTATATATATATTTATTATATATATATATATATACATACACAAAGTTAATTCCACTGTCATACACCATGCATGACAAGGGAAGTAACAAAAAGTACAGGAAACAACTGGCTCCGTGGACTGGCCAGCCGGCTACCAATACCAACTGACACGTTTCTGGGGCGTAGCCCCTTTCTCTGAGTTTTTTGAGTCACACACCCACTCAATGGACATTTAATATTTCTACGTTGAAGCTAATTTCTCATCCAGTGGGCATGCTGTAGGTAGAGCAAGGACACAGGAAGCGACAAAGCTGTGCCTGCATATACTAGTCAATCCTTCTTTATTGACATAAAAAGGTCATTTCACAATGTAAAGCAGCATTTCGGAACCATGTCGGTCCCTTCATCAGGCAAACAAAGTCCTTTATTTATTCTGGATTAATTAGTGGCTGCATCTACACGCGAGTTATGGGTAGATCTTGGTCAGGAGTGCGATGGGACCTACGTATGTTTGCATATAGTAGTGTCACCTGCCTGGCTTTGTGGTGTTTCAGAGGTTATTGGACCACAAGACCGGCTGAGGAGAATGACAAACCCCCTTTTCAAGTAAAAGGGCACACACAAATGTATTAAAATTTTTTATTTAAGGCCCCTTTCACAAGGGCTTTCTGATCAGGTCCACCTGTCGGCTCTTTAGGAAAGCCAGTGTTAGTCTTTGGGCAGATGGGTCTAA